ACTTGCTGTTTTCTCTCTGTTTCACAGAGATGGTAATTAAACTTTGGGGCAGGCTAAGTTGCAGTAGAAAATGGTAGGCGTCATCTCTGGAGACTTTCAAATACAGTCTATATACTTTCTAAAAGTTATTTTTTGCCTGAACACAAGTAATGGGGGGCTCAATATCAGAGGTAATTGGATGGAATATAAGCATCTGAAACAAAAACTCAGTGTAGATGAACTAATCTCTTCTCCTGGCCTTAAATGTATGAAAATATAGATTACATTACTGCAATGTGTTTGTTTCCTACATCTAATTGGTTTTCTTTCAAGGCTCAAAAATCTTTAGTCGCTGCAGCTTGCATCACTAACCTTTAAGAATTCAAAACAATACTCTTTACTGCTTGCTGAATTGTCACATACTATATGTCTCTAAATCCATCTGAATGTGCAATTTCCAACTCCTGATTAGCACCAGGAGCCCAGTCAAGGATGACAGAACAGCATCCAGTTCTGTTGATCTCTACTGCAATTACAACAGTCAAAAGCTGCATAAGGGCCATCCTACAGCTTGCCTTTTCAGGAAAAACTGTTTGAAAACCTGTTATATCACAGGGGTTATTGATGGGAACAGGGTGATTGACATGAAATTTTTTAAAACCCAAACCTTTCTAAGATGAATTACAGCACAAATACGTTACCCACAGAGAATGGGCTGACTTCAGTGTCAATTTCTGTGGACAGATTCCCTACAAGTCACTGGGTAGGAAGTGCCACCACACACTTGCAATAGTTCCAATCCCATAGCAAGATGCTTTCTTGATTCCAAGGGCATAGTGCATATATTGATTTAAATTTTCCCTATTATCCCTGAACAAGTCAGAAACTGCACTGGGTTGGATGTGTGACAGTGAGAGTGTTCAGACAAATTGGTGGGGTGGGGTTAAGCCATACATTGTCTGTGTCCAAAATGCCCTATCAAGGAACTCAGAGGATTATTTTCTGAGGAGTGTCAGCTACTGTTGCAGTGCTGATTTAATACAAAAATGTGTGCACCAGCTCTGCCCTAATCCCCATTCTTCCTTCTTATGTCTTGGTGTGTTTTCTTCTATTAGCTCTTCCTACCAGAATGTGATTCCACTCTCTCAAACATTTTTTTTTGTTTGATTCACTTTATCTTCTTCCTATATCTGATTGCCACTGATGTCCTTTCTCCTAGAAGAGGTTTGATTCACTTTGTCTCATAGAGTATTTATCTTCTTCCTATATCTGATTGCCACTGATGTCCTTTCTCCTAGAAGATATATTCATCTATTCACATATTCACTATTTTTTCAGATTTTATTTATATCAGGTCGGTAGAAAAATATAATAAATTACTGTGACTCTGGAGTGCTCACAGGAATAAATTGTCAAAGATTTTTAATAAAATTATGCTGTCTTCTGAGCCAGGGTCTCTGTAAACAAAGGCATTACACCAAAATAAAACTTTCCTAAGTTCTGATGCAGTGAGGATGCCATGCTTTGGTTACTCCAAACTTGAACATGGATAGATCATTGGCAATTGGCTTTTCCCAAACCCTGACTGCAAGGAAGTTTTCATGGTCAGTGTTCCTATCAGCCCTAACTCCATGTACTCGTTGCTCCTGATCCAGTCCTGACTGCAAGGAAGTTTTCATGGTCAGCCCTATCTATCAGCCCTAACTCCATGTACTCGTTGCTCCTGATCCAGATTTTGTCCCAGTCAGGACAAAGTGAAGAGGGAATTCCCACAGAAAAGCCAGTGGTGCTTTACTTCCCCCAAAACACTTCCCCTTGAAAAGTAGAGCTGTATTAAAAAAAAAAACCGAAAAAAAAATGAAAAAAAAAACCCACAGAAAACCCCAATCAATACTGATTAATCTAAACCTTCAATCCCAAGGCAATCCATTTTGTGGGTGTGACTGCCAGCTGGTGCTGGTGGGACTCCTGAAGTTCAGAGCAAGTGTCCTCGGGTCCCATGGTTTTACATGTTTGAAGTAGGGAGCAGATACTTCACCTGAGAGTGCAGCTAATGCTAATTTTTTTTAAACTCTTCATTAATTTGAATCCTAACTCGCACATCTTGTTGTCAATTGAATACATGATCTCCTTTTTCCACCACATGCTATTATATAGGTACTTCTTGGGTAAGAAATTGTCTCTATTAGCATTTCTGTCATGCAGAACAAACATTCTGTCAGGGTTGGCAGCTCTTTTTTACTACAGATCTCAAATGTGAATTGAATTTTATATAAATTTCATGCTGTGACTTAAATTATCTCCCTTGAAAAATGACTACCTGTAACACTCCTTTTAGTGGAGAGTCCTCAAAGAATCCCAACTATGAGACTTGGTAGCAGAGTTAAAAATCAAGAAGCAGATTTAGGTGAAAGAACATTTTATCCAAAGCATTTGTCACAGTAATTTCAGCTGCTTCCATCGTAAGGAGGAAGGCTAGCTGTGATTTTTTAGAGTTCCAGGTATTTCTGATGTTCTACATTACTCAATATCAGTTCCCAGGTGTGAAACTTGGCACTAAGTTGTTAAATCCTTCTGCTTTTGAAAGCTGCTTCAAAATATCCTTCAAATGTAAGGAAGGATAATTTTGGAAATCCAATCAGCAACACATACGGTGTGCTGACTGTACTTTTATATCTCATATGCCTGCGGAAGACATGGGAGAAGCCCAGGAGAATCTTACATGGATTGTTAGTGCTGCCCAGGATTTCCCCCAGAGAGAATTGGTGGTGTCTCACCACAGACACACAAAAATAATTTTTGTTCCCTGAAATCCCTCTTTTGAAAATTAACAAAGGCCAATAACTTCTGTCTCCTCCTTGCTGTAGAGGAGGGAAACTGAAAAAGCAGTTGCAGGTTTGTGCACTAGGAAATGACATGATAAGAGCACTTTGCTAAACGTTTTTTAAAAAGCTTTTGTCATGTTAACTGGTACAGCACCCAGCCCAGAGTCACAATCATGTTCCCTGTTAAAGAGAATTGACTTAATTCATTTTCATGTTGTGACCTGCAACAGTTTAATTTACCTGAGAGCATTCTTCCTGTCAATACAGGCTGGATGGAAACATGAGAACTTCAGGTTATGCTAAGTGTCTGATTTGTGATGCAGTTTACCTCTGCAATGACTGCACTGTTCAAATTAATTATTACCAGATCATTATCTTTAGATGGCAGGCAGATGTTGAGGTTATGGTGTTTGTGAACCCTAAGCCTGTCTTTTTTTTTCTGTACAGATAACCAGCAGTTGCTATATAAATTGGAGAGCCAAGGTCTAGGCCTTCTGGCAGTCAATTGGTTTTGTAATTATCTTAGTAATAGTTCTCAATTATTATTCAGTAAAGGTCATCTTTTCTCTGCTAATGGGTCATGGCACCCCCTAGGGATCCAGAGATGGGCCAGTTCTCCTTTTTATCATGTAAATGACTTGCCATCTGTGTGCCACCCAGGTTCATCTAAGGCAGTTCTGAAAACACTGATTATTAATATCTAAGCTGCAGATTCTGACAGGATTGTAGAACTGTTTTAAAATATTTTTTAAAGATGGGCTGTGTGTCCTGAAATTTTCAAGACTGTTAAATGCCATGGACAGCTTAGTAGCAATTGTCTTCAAGTAATACCGTGATTAAAAACACAAACTTTTATTTTAACTAGTGGCATTTTTAGTTAACAAACCCAGATACCCTTTTTCCAACCCATGCCTGCCTTCATTTGTGTCCCATTGTATTTATTTCTGCTATGTGAATGCCTGGGGGAAGTTAAATTACCAACCATAGTTATTACACTTGCACAAAACTTCTTTATTCCCTTCTCTAGATCATGTTTACATTGCAGGCTGTGCTGAAAGTGAATAAAATGAAAAAGTCATCATTTGTTTCTACTCTATTGTAATAGCCATGCTGTAATTGGTGCTGTTTCATATAAAATTACCATATAAATTGTGCCATCCAAAGCTGCAACAGAAAGAGTATTTACAATAAATGGCAAATCCCTGTTAATTATTGATAGCCTAATAAACACACCATTATAATTCAGTCTTATTATTCATTATTAATAATAACTCTTATTTACTATTCATTGTGGAAGGATCAATTATGATTAACTGTTCTAAAATGAATGGTCCACATGCATGTTTCTATTTTCAGGGCCTTTTCCATTGAGGGAAAGGCTTTCTGTATTAAAATACTCAGTCCAACAGGACAGAACATGGCTGTACCCAAACAGCTTTACAGGCACCAGTGTCCTGGTCCTGGTGTCTGTGAAGAGCTGCCATGAGCTCTGTCAGAGGCAGTTAATGATTTTTTTTTTCTTTGGAGGTCATTACTTGGCCCAAAGGTGGTTGACTTTTGACCTAGGATGTTCTTGGCCCCCTGGGCACACAGCAGTTTAACTTTAATAGTAATGAAGCTTTGCTTTACTGCTTAGCAATGTCAGGGATCTCTTTTTAAAATAAACTCTGCCAAAAATTAATTGAGGCATTGTCATACATCTTGGTGGCTTCAAAGCTTAATTTTGCTGGGGAAGGAGGAGGCTGAATTCCAGGCATTACAATGACAATGTGTCCTTGTGTGGATCTGCAGAGTGACCATCAGGTGTCGTGTGAATGAAGATGTCTTCTCCAGAAATTATCCATTTATTGAGCCTTTGGCCTTATAATACTTTTTATGAAGGTGTAACCAGCCCAGTCTTTCTAGACTGCATTGCCAGAGTCAAGACTTTCACCTTCTGGTATTGGTATTGTCACTTTTGGCTGTAGGAAGAACAGGACTAGAAGTATTGACAGCCAACAATATTCACTTTTCCTACCAGGCTTTTGATTTTCTGACATCTCCTCCATGCATAACTCAACTGCCAATTTCCACTAAGAAATAGCACTAGAGAATATTGATTTCTTACAATGCAGACCAAATGCTTTCCTTCTTTGTTTCAGTTTCTATGCTTCTGACCAGACTTTGGCTGATATTTTGCTTTGTCACCCATTTCAGGTTTTTGATGCACAGGTAACTCCACCGTATCTCCTGTTAGAAGTTAAATGCTGCAAATTCCATCTGAGATGCACTGAGATAAAAAGTCACTGCCCACCAGGGCTCATGGGGTGTGCCCTAAGTGTGCCACACGTGGAAGTGCCTTGAAGTTTTCACAGTGCAGGAAAATGGGGCAGGAGGATGATCACTGCATGCCAAGGTGAGGCTTTCCTTCAGCTCTGACTGGATTTCACACTGATTTATCCGTGGGGGGTTAAAGTGCACTGTCTGCAGGCAGCATTCTTGAGTTATCCAGAGTTTCTTGGCACAGAGGAGTTTCTGCATATGCAGTTTTTGTTTGACAAGGGTTCTCCAATGTCTTTCCCCAACTGCCCACTTCAGAATTCAAAAATATCTGCAAAATGCTCTGTATTTTTCCATGATGTGCCAGTTCTCACCAGCTGTGATTTTCCAATACAGTGATGCACTATAAGGCAGCCAACTGACTTGTAAAAGGATATGAGTTTCTGTGCCAAGGAGAATTTAGCATAATGTTTCAACTGCAAATATAAAACACAGTTTCAAAGAAAGAAGAGAAGAAATTCAAAATGTATATAAATATGATATGTATAAATATTTTTTATTTTGTTTCAAATAATGTCTTTCTCTGCTGGGTGTATAGCATCTGAGACAACTGAACATTTTTAGCACATAAGAAATTATTCACTTAGTTTATGGACACAAAGCAGTGTATAAACCATGCAGCTCAATAAACACTTTGTTTCCAATTCTTATGTGCATTACTCTCTGACATATCTGGAATTATTCCAGAAACTCATATCAAGGTAAGTCCTGCCAGCAGAATGAAGTTACAACAGAAGCCTTGGGTAACTCGCGGCACCTTTGCCAGCATTGCAGGAGGAGTGTGCTTTAACACGCCTGTGCCTCGTGTTCACACCTCTGCTCAAGCTGTGCAAGGCCCTACCAAAGTGTCACTGCTTAACCACTGCCCCATTGCCCAGGGGAGGTGATGGCACCTTTGCCAGCAGTGCAGGAGGAGTGTGCTTTAACACCACGCCTGTGCCTCGTGTTCACACCTCTGCTCAAGCTGTGCAAGGCCCTACCAAAGTGTCACTGCTTAACCACTGCCCCATTGCCCAGGGGAGGTGTCTCACAGGCCGGGCTGCACAAGTCACACCTTCCTATCGAGGCGTTGACACATCTTAAATAAGAGCAGAATTTGCTCTCTCTTTAAGCGGTCAGTGGCCCTTAGCAGGGTGTTCTTAGGCAGCTCTCCCCACTCCTCGTGAGGTAATTAAATATTGATCTTGCCCCTTTTGCAGATGAAAATGCTCACGCTGGGTTTCAAGAAGGGATCACTTTTTCATGGTGTCATGGTTCAACCCCAGCCAGCAATTCAGTTTCACAGATCCACTGCTCACTGCTCCCTGGTGGGGCTGAGGAGAGAACCAGAAAAGTGACAGGCAGAAAACAAATGGCATGAGATAAAGACACTTCAGTAGGAAAAATAATAGCACACAGTGCAAAGCAAAACATGGAATTCATTCCCCACTTCCCATGGGAATGAATTCAGCCATGCCCAGGAAAGCCAGGCTCCATCACCCCTGAGGGTGGCTTGGGGAGACAAACCATCCCTCCACACGTGCCCTTGCTGCTTCTCCCCCAGCTGAGCATCACCCCATCAGGGATGGGACACAGCTGTCCCAGCTGTGCCCTCTCCCAAATCCCTGTGCCCCCAGCCCCTTGCTGCTGGAGGGGATGAGGAGCAGAAAAGGTCCTGACAGTGTAAGTTCTGCTCAGCCATAACTAAAACATCCCAATGCTATCAACACTTTCCAAAACACAGCCCCATGTTAGCTCTATGAGGAAAATTAGCTCTATCCCAGGCAAAAGCAGTACACAGTCTGTTACTCTACTTGATATCATTTTCTAATTAAGGTATAATTAATGTATAATGCGGTAGAAATACTAGGTAGGAGTAAAATTGTGACCATCTACTGTTATTGAAAATGTTCTATGAACCCCATTATGCCATTGTAAAATTATTCTCTAAATGTCAGTGATGTGAGGAGCACAAACAAGAAGTCTCTGTTATTAGACATGCTTTTATTATGCAGCCTAACTGAGAGCAATATTGTGTTTAAGAATAAGCAGGGAAGTAAAATATGAGGGATTTTGATCACAGAAAAATCAGTTTTACCATGTGCTGTAAATATTACTGAGGCAGCAGCATGCCTACTTTTCAGAAGCCAGAAAATGAACAAAACGAAGGGAGGAATATCATGAATCGTAATTTGCTGCAAATGCAAACTATTCTACTCTTTTCTTTTTATTTTTTTTTTCTTTGTTTTGTTTTGTTTTTAAGCAAGGTAATATACATATTTTGATCTGTTTTCTGGAACCTCAAAACATGGAGATACAGCACCAATGAGACTTGAAAGCTCCATCAAATGCCTGCTGAAAAGTGTCTGTTGCTGGCGCTACTGCAAGAGCTTTTGCTATTTTTTCAACTAACATTTGCAGCATTTCCCACCTAGTGCAGGAAATGGTGGCTGCTTGCATAAACATATATTTAAGGCTTAAAAGAGCCAGCTTTGAAGTTAATCCAACTGTTGGTGTTTACAGAGGAATGAGTGTGTCAGGAGAGAAGCTGCCTATTCCTCAGCTCTCTGTGGCAAAGCTGCCCTTGAATTCAGCAAGACAAGAGTTAAACTGAAATACAGCTCTGGTGCAGTGCACTCCTGCACCATCCTCCACCTTGCCTTTGTGTATGGTATAATTATCAGATTCATTATAATAACTCTTGCATATAAGTACTGTACTTACCCAAGGGCAACCTGGGAGATTTTATATTTGCAAGCCCCATTTTGTTATTCTGTAATAAAACTCTACACTGAACATAGGGTGGCACCAGGCAAACATCAAAATGTCTAATATTTAGTGGAAAAAGGATGAAGACTATGATATACTCCTGCAGAGGAATGAAGACTGGTAGATTGAAGACAACTAAATTAATTAAGCCTAATACATAATTATTTGGCAATTTAATGACTAGATATTCAATGAATATTTTCTTATTTATCAGATTAAACAATAATTAAATTATTCTTCATAACAGGGGAATGAGACAAAGATTTTTCTTTAATTTTACATTCCCACTTAAGGTTTCCATATAAGCATATTTTGATAACCTGGGAATGCAGAACTCTGCAATCTGTGGGAAAATAGCAGCACCAAGGAAGTTATATTTTAGTTTTTTACAACAGAGATATGTTCAATAACCAGGTCAGCTTTCCTAGGAGAAAAGAAAGCAAATAAACCCAGCCTCCCACCCAAACTTAATTTGATGCAGATGAATGAAACATCAGCAGGCTTTTGGCCCTAAGTGAAAAGGGGAACAATGAAAGGCAGTTTTTTTGTTGGGAGATAATTTTTTGTTGTTTTACACTTCTAAGATTTGAAGTCTGCCTGAAAAAAATTGGAACTCAAATATAGGTCTTTGTTTTTAAAATTTTGTTTTTCATTTATATGAACACAGGAAGCTTGGGAATATCTCATTTTATTGCTTTTGTGATTATAGAAAAGAAAAATCTGCAACTTTATGTGCTGCATTCCTGTGCCATATACTAGATTAATAGCACCAGAAGATCATTATCCAGGCTAAATTTTAACCCATTCTCAGTGCAGTCCTTTGGGCCTGTCTCACTGGGGACTCTCCTATAATGTATAGCATTCATTTGAGCCTAAACCTCTGGTTTTAATGGCGTTGTCTTCCTGAACAATGGGCTGTAGAGTGCTGCACAGCAAACAGTGTTCAGTGCACGCTGATGTGAAATATTTCCCTCTCTGGTAGCTGTGCCACATAATAAGTGTTCAAAAAATGCATGGATGAGGTGCTTAGGCAAATGGTTCAGTGGTGGACCTGGTCCTGTAAGGTTGATAACTGGACTTGATGTCCTTAGAGGTCTTTTCCAAGCTTAATGATTCAATGATTCATATCTACAACCTGCACATGCCCCTTCCCAGGAAACTGAGTACAAAACTTGTGCTTTTCCAGCGCCTGGGTGCCTGTCTCTCCTTGTCCCTCTCCTCCAGCTGAAGTGGCTTTCCCTGGGTGAGCTGTCAAGGAGAGCCTGGTCCCCAGTGCTGCTGCCCTCTGGATTACTGCTCTGCTCTCGCCTCAGAGCAAGGGCAGCCACCCCTGCGGGTCCCACGTTTTGGGGGAAGCCAGGGAGGCCACAGAGAATGTGGAGTTAGAGGCAGGGGAGAGCTCAGGGGAACCGCAATGGCAAGAGCTCTGCTAGAGGGGGGGCAGGAGCTGGGGGGAATGCAAAAGCTTTTATTCTGAAAGCCCAGTTACTGCATGTACAGAAGGTATCACAGCACTGGGATGTGCTTTGGTGTATTTTCTGATATTCACAGTGGGAAGGAATCAAACTAATCCCCGTTCAGCGCTGGCAGCGTGGAAGTGCCTCCAGCAGCCAGCGCAAGGCACTGAGGATGGAAACAGCAAAAAGCCTTAAAATGCTTATCTAACCCTGTAATGAGCTCATCCACTGCCCCAAGCCTTTCTGGGAAGGCAGGTACACCCAGCACTTGGCACGTTGGATGCCATGGCTGGCTGCACTCGCTGGGGGAGCTTCAGAACACTGACAAATGGCCTGGGGGGTTCCCTTAACCAAGAGCAGGAATGATAGCAGAGCTAATGTACACTCTCCAACACCCTGCACTGTATTTTGGGGCTTTTAGTGGTGTAGCCAAAGTGTAAAAAATGGATGCAGGGCTTTTAAAACTTCCCAATAAAGAGAAAACATTGTTTGAAGCCATGGAAGCTGCATATTCACTGGCACAGCACCTAATGCAGTTTGCTTCTCCAGTAGTGCCCTCAAGTACCTTCTGATATTCATATATAAAATGTAAGTACATAACCTGCTGTAAAAAGCTACAGCAGTGCCCTTGGCAAGCTTCCCTGGCCTGTGGAGGGTAATTACATGTGGAACACAAACACAGCTCCAAAATTGACCTCAGTGGATGTCCAGCTTTTTCTCATACAAATGCTGTGAGATCTATCCATGTTAATAGGAGCATTTGGTGTATCTTGATGGAGAATTTTGACTTTATAACCTAGTCAGAGCTCACTAGGCAAAAAAAAAAAAAAAAAAAAAAAAAAAGGAAAAAAAAAATTGAGAAGATACTTTTCCCATCAATTCCAATAAGGATTTAGATCCATACACAACCCTGCCAGCCTCCAATTCCAGACTGCTGTTGGAGGTGAGTAAACCAGAAGGATGAGCTTGTTCTGGATGGAAATGTGTCTACAGCAAAGGCCAGCTTGGAAATACAGCTTTGTGTTTCAGCCAAAAATCAGACAGAAATGATCACAGCTGAAATGTTACATGAGGCCCTGGAAACTGCTCACAGCAAACCACACAACTGCTTAGGAAGGCATGACTTCAAATCTGTTCTTTTCAGGTGAAATTGTGAATGCTCCTGTGTCATTCTCATGAGTGCCTTGGTTCCCACAGGTGCCATCTATAAAAAGGAAAAAAAAAAATAAACAGGTGCATTTTTAATATACTTTCAAAATGTTTTGAGATTTTGTGATTGGGGTTTTTAGGCATTTACCTATGGTTTTAATGGAATTGTGAGATTTATGCTGTTAGATCACCTTCTTTGTTTATCTGTATCAAATGGCTAATACTAAGATAGACAGAAATGTTTATTAGAAATGGCTTGTGCTAGAATTATGAGTTCACAATTATTCTGGAAATATAGAAGTTCTGATAAAAACTTTAAAGCAGCTAGATTGCTGCTGTCCATGAGGATTTTACTAAGGAGTTTTTAAGAGAAAATTATTGAGAAGAGGAAAAACAGATCCAACAAATAATCAACTCATGTGGAGGAATGAGATTCAAGTAAAATTTCTGCAGACAGAGTTTTGGCATATATGCAGAGAAAGAAAATACAGTTATAAATTACAAAAATTACTGGATAAGAAAATGAGCAATTTGATACAGATTTACTGTTTAAAAATTGAGGTGCAGTATTTGTAGTTAAACATTTATATAAATGAAAGCTGTGTGTATATTTCTGTACGAATGATGAAGGTGACCCTGATTTAGCTCATTCCAAAGCATTTTTTTTAAAAGAAACATTTAAATATGTAAATCATAGATGAGCTAAGTTTAGGAAGGGTTATCATAAATGTCTGTTATCTTTGAACATGAACATATGCTCACTATGCTAATTCTGTAGGATCCTTAGATCAAATGCTGGCATATTTCACTGTTTTGCATTGCTTAAATTTTGACTTCAGATTTCATACTTTTCTTTATTTTAAGGTTATAGTAAGGGGTTTTTTTGTTGCAGTCACCAAATGCCAAATTAAGAGGGACCATCTGAAGGAAGATATTTTCCTGTGTTCCTCTGTTAGCCTTGAGAAGTTGCATCTTGCTGGACCCTGCACTGAAAACAGTCCAGAAGAATATGAGACCAGAACCTGACCACTCCGTAATTCATAAGTAAATTTAATGTCTTACAAAGGATAAACTTTATTTAAATTTTCCTTAAAATGCATGCCTTTGAAATTGCTAAGATCAGAGCCCCAATTTTTTAAACAGACTGGTGGCTCAAGATTGCTGGTTTTGTTTTTGAAGTTTTGTTTTAAGAGATGAAATTTGCCATGAAAGAAAACCATGATTTCATGTATGGAAAAAAATTCCTCAGTTCCTGATTGTCCAAGAAACATTCCTGTGGGTTTCTCCCTGAAAACTTACAGAAACAGACTTTTTGATACAATGTGGGGGCATGAAGTTTGCTGTTTTATAAATCTCATTACCATCTTTAGGTTTTTTCTTTTAGATTAAGATGATAGCAGTTTATATTTTCATTTCAAACATGACCCACACAACATTTTCCTATTAATTTAAGCTCTTGCATCTCTGTATTTTGTGTCACCCAAGACCTCTTTTGTTAAAGTGTAAATATTTCCCTAAAATAATGAAAGTGCCATTATCACCCTTTTATTCATTTAGGTGCCCAGGAAGGGAACTGCAAAGGCCTTTAGCTAAAAGCATATTTTTAGTATAAAGAGATAACATTAACACAAGGATCTCTGCAGATCATTAGTCTGGCTGTTCTCTAATGTGCTCTCCCTTAAATTTTGTTTACCAGAATACAGTGAGGGATAAATGGCAGACACATCTGGGAAGAGGCACTGGAAGTTTTCTCTCGTTGCTCGCCTCTCTCTCTTGGCATTGGGCTGATCCACAGAGTGAGTATTTATTAAATCCTTATCTCCAAGCTGAGCAGCAGCTCTGTCTGTCTCCTGTATGGCTGAATCCCAGCAGAGAAGAGCAGGTCACTTAGTATTAAGTGATATTGTAAAACTGCTGCCTTGTGTTTGAAGAACAAAACCACAGGAGGGTCTACATG